AAGTAGAGGTTCCACTGTACTGCTCTAGAGAAAGGTTGGTCTCATCTACCCACCATCCAGTTTGGTGGGACGTGCAACATGACCTTTGCCAATAATATTGTCAGATTGCAACTTCCGTTGCCCCTTGCAATTGGTTATGCTGGCAAGGGCTGGTGGGAGTTGCAATTCCATAAGATCTGGAGAGCCACAGGTTGCCTACTTCTGCTCTACAGAAAAAATATGTTTTTCTGCATAATGTATTTTTACACTGAGGGTGTCTCTCTCTTTTTGTTACTATCCTGATACCCTGCTCAAAACCTAGACTGCAGCTGGAACCTATTACATTTCTTCTAGTTGCCTTTGTAAACATTTCTCCTCCACCTTACTAAGCTGTCAAGAGGAATGACATCACATTATCTAAATCTCTGAGCTAAATGTCTGTGTTTCTTTCCCTCCCTCATTTTTTGAATCTGATAAGGTAACCCACAATGACATTGTGTTTTATGAGATGCATCCTTTCTAGGTTTGTGTCACCATCATATGCTTATTATTTTTAACTTCACTGAATTCAATAAATGAGCTGATTTCAAAGAAACAACTAGATACCTGCTGAGATCATTTTAGGCACAAGTGAAATCAGATTTATACTTCCTTGGTTATCAGATGTAAGCTCTAAATAGGGGTGTATGCCCATGGGCCAATTGCAGCCACTGAATTGTACTTTTCTGGCCCCTGAAGCCCACAAGCCCTAAAATAAAATCAGGTGTTTTTGCCCTAAAACCACACTGAAAGCCCCCACACATGTGTGTGTAGACATTTGAAAATACCCCCGTCCCATTATCATAAGCACTGCAGAACACTATAGTGCTCCAAAATACCTGTTTTCCTCTGTAGTTGCTCTCAAAATGGCAACACGAAGTGATGCAAGGTTTATTCCTATTACCATTTTGAGAGGGACTGTAAAGGGAAAGTGAGGATATTTGGGGTTGTTCTACATCAGTGATGCCCAAACTTTGGTCCTCCAGTTTTGGTCTTCAGCGCCCAGAATTCCTGACTATCGACCAAGCTGACAGGGGTTTCTGGGAGCTGAAGTCCAAAGCGCCTGGAAGACCAAAGTTTGGGACTCACTGTTCTAGATTGTATGGCCTGCATGAGTGGGTAAAAAAGGGGGAGGATTGGCCCCTGGTCCCCACATGGTTGCTCAGTCCTACTCTAAAACATCCCCGTGCATACATTGCAGTTTTTGCTGAAAGGCTGTGAGGAACTGTACATCTGTTTCTTTCCAGTTAGTCTTGCAGGAGTGCTTTATTCATTCATTTATTCGACTTTTATCCTGCTTTTCCTCTTAAGATCAAGCTGGCATAGGTATTCCTCTTCCCTTCTCTATGAAGTAGGATAAGTCCAGAAGCAGTGACTGACCGAAGATCATCCAATAAGCTTCATGGCCGCATGGAGATTTGAACCCAGATCCTCTCATCATTCTAACTCTAACCACTATCCACACTGGCTCCTGGTTTTGCTTCTCTTTATTTCAGTATTGAGATGTGAAAAATGTACAGCTGAGCTATCTCTTGGCCTGTATAAAGGTCCAATCCTAGTCCAACTAGTCAGGCATTACTAGATGGAATTATTGAACTAGATGGGAATTCTTGTACTCCTTTTTTTATGGCCACTGCACTCATTACAGATGTAATAAACATGTCTGAGATGGCTCCTTGCATTTCCTTTATCACATTTTTATCATGGAAACATGTGGAAGAGTTCCAAGGGCAACTACAGCTCTCTACATACAACTAGATTTTGAAATCAAAATAAACACAAGAAGGGAGCTCCCATGTCACCAGACAGCTCCGTGATTGATTTCACTCCATGTTTGCCACAAGATCACTCTGCCTCACATCATGGGGCTGACACCAAAAATGCAATAGGATCAGGATTTTGTGTTTAGTATAATACC